AGCTTCCATGGTAGTGCATTGTTTACGCCTATTCCCATATTTTCGCATGCGGCTATTTATGTAGAAAGGACAAAAACACAATTAGAGCCAATTTAACCTTGGAATATTGATGAAATCTTACCAGCAATCAAAGCATAATTTGGAGGTGCGAGTGAAGACATAGTTGGAAAAACGCGAGGTAATATGTTAAGATAAAGTTAAATACATACGTATGTGCGTGAGAAACTTGCTTGTGCAACTGTTAATTGCAGAATTTAGAAAAGCTTCTTTATTTAACAGTGTCAGCTGATATTACATGCCGATATGCGGATCATTACATGAGCCGACATAGGACGCGTACACGTTTGATTTCACTTGATAGAAAGATGAAAGCAAAAACTTTACAAATTCGCTGGCACGAAGACACATTAGCTATTTACTCTGTGCACTTTCAACCAGGAAAAACAGGAAGATTCGCAACTGGAGGTTTAGATTGCAATGTTATGGTAAGAGTAAAAACTAGAACGTAAAATATATGGAGATTTTTCAAACCTTTTTCTCTTCTAAAGGTATGGAAACTTAGCAAAAACAAAAAAGCGCTACCACATGTTATTTACTTGTCAACTTTGAAACGTCACACGGCTCCAGTAAATGTAGTCAGATTTTCACCTAATGGTATGTCGTAATTTTTATTCGACGCGTGTCTATATAAAGAATTCGTAATTAACCTTTAAGAAATTTACAAAGAAGATTTTTTGGCTTCCGCTGGGGACGGTAAGAAAAATGTTGCATCCATAATTTAAGGTTATTCTTGCATTAATTTATTTTCGAACTTGACAGATGGAGTCGTTTGTTTGTGGAAATTACTGGAACATAAAGATTCAACTTGTTCTTTTGGTGATGATTCTGATGAATCTAGTAAAGATCCTGAGACCTGGAAAGTAATTTCACTTCTTAGGTAATGTGTTATTGGATAATTTGTGATAATTCGGTTCACTTGGTTAGACATATATGAACATCAGTTATTCAACTCGATAAAATAGGGGTTCGCTCTCTGAAATTACGGACCTTGCGTGGTCGCCGGATGGAGAGTATATAGTTGCAGCTTGTGCAGAGGGTGCAGCTCGCATTTGGCGCGTGAAAGATGGTACATGACTCTTCATCAAATTAATCTTAATTATATGTTCTTTAATGAAGAGTTTACTTTTTATTAGCGACGTGTGTATGTATTTTGATGGATCATATCAGGAACGTTCAGGGTGTCGCATGGGATCCTCTTGGAGAATATATTGCTACTCAAGGTTGCGATCGGTAATTGATTCTTTTAGTTTGACATCAAGCTTAAATACATATTATTCATAAGAACCGGATAAATTCGATATCTTTTTTCTTTCTTTCTTTTTTTTAGGACCGTTCATATATACTCTTATAGTATACATCAAAATGGTGCTTTTACGGCAACACATTTTGGCAAGAATTACATACTGGAGATTCCATGCAAGAACGATGATATTAAAACAACTGTTACCCCTATCGATACTCATGAAAATCCTTTTTATAATTATTCTTCAAATGAGGTTTCTGCACCAAGCTCTATCCTGGATAATAGCAATGCGCTGAATGAAACGGATTGTTTAAGCACTTCTGCGCCTAAAGATACCTCAAAAGATAATCAAACATCTCGGGAAGTTGATCTTTCGGAGGGTCTCAAGTTTGACGAAGAATGTTCAATAGAGTGTTCGGAAGTCTTGGGATCTAGACAAGCGCATTATCCGGCATCTGTGTTGAAAAACTCGAACAAAGGCACTCAAAGATCACATAAAAAACGTTTTCGTTTGTACTGTGAAGAAGCGGTTAACACTTTTTTCAGACGGTTAACTTTCACTCCTGACGGAGGGCTCTTGGTGACGCCAGCTGGTCAGTACAGAGAATCTATTATTGACTTGATACAAAGCAAAGAAAGTAAAGTTCGCGCAGATAACGCTATGCGAAATACTGTTTATTTGTTTGCCCGAAACAGATTGGGCAGGTGAGATTTTTAAAGTCATGTTAGATCATTAATCATTAACGTTACGCGTTCTTATATAACATTCACATCATAATTACAGATCGCCCGTTGCCTTTTTATCGGGATATAGGAAACCCTCTGTTGTGGTTAAATGTAGTCCTATATTTTACAAGTTACGGTTTGATCGACAAGATTGTCAGGTACAACATGAAATGAGTGCATCATCGAATAATTCCAGTAGTAATATAAACAGCACGCCGCCTTCTCGCCATCGCGTTGTACCTTTGTTTGATTTACCTTATCGAATAATATATGCTGTCGCGACTCAAGATTCGATTTTCATATACGACACGGAGCAGTGTAGTCCGCTAGTGATGGCGACTAATTTACATTATGCTTCAATCTCGGATTTGGATTGGTAAAAGTCTAAATTTATAATTTATATTACTGCAATCCCTTAATAACAAAAATTCTATTCAACAGGTCTCCAGATGGGAATTCACTCTTACTCGCATCGCAGGACGGATACTGTTCCATTATGACATTTCACGATGATGAACTAGGTGTACGATACGAGCATAATCCAATTAAAAACAATCTTCCTGTTGTTGGTTTAGTTGCTCTTCCCGCGGATTCTACAGTGAATGACCCTTTGGACAAGACTCTGATCGCGTCAAAGATTTTGAAACCTCAATGTGATTATAGTAATACTAGTGATACACAAAATTTTCAACAAGCCCCCACGTTAACATCGATGGATACGGCAATGAATCCTGAATATGTACATCAACAATCAAGTAGTTATATTAATCAGGCCGAAAATGAAACGCCGTCGAAACAAAATGGTCAAAAGAAAAGAAGAATCACACCAAAACTAATTAAACAATTGTAGAGGACGTCGTTTATGAGAAAATCAAATCCTCGCTTCCAAAATTTATTGTGACCTGTTAAAGGAACTTATTAAAATCTTTAGCAACAAATTTTACTAACGGTATTAATATTTATAAAAAAAGAGCTTTATAATAATCACAAATCCAAAGCTAATTATCAGGTTTTAATTGCCTAAATGTGATCAATTACTTCGTTTACTTCAGAGTGAGATAATGTGATAATGTTAAAATGTATCTATTGAACACATTCAAAAAATTAATTTATTAAAATATCTTGACAACGCAAAAATCAAATATTTTTTTTTAAGGTATTTAATGCCAAAATGTTTTTTTCATTAAATTAATAAATTGCTTAAAATTTTTTATTTTTATACTTTTATATATAGAAATCAACAATGTTAAGTTTAAAATTTGAATCCACCTACTATAAATTTCAACTTTGACAATTTTTAAATCATTAATTATACAGTCAAAAATTATAAAATTTATATATATTATATATTAATATTTATTGTAATTCTTATATTTTTTTAAAAAAATTTTTATTAATACATTCTAAAAGTTTATTATTGTTAAATATTTTTATTTTTTTATTAATTATTATATGATTTACAATAATAGTTAATCAAAATTTTTCAAAAATAAAAATTTAATAAAGGAAGAAAATTTTTAACAATAATAAACTTTAAAAATTATCTATAAAAATTTTTTAAAAAATTTTTAATAAATAAAATTGGTGTTAAGATATAATATATATAAATTTTATAATTTTTGATTACATGATTAAGGATTTAAAAATTATTAAAGTTAAAATTTATAATAAAATTATTTAATTATATAGATTTTATTATTATTTTTTTTTAT